GTTTTTAGAATTTAGATATTCTATGATGATGTCATTGTCAATGTAGCAAATGAGAATTATTTCAGCAAACTTGTGAATTTATACAGAATTTATTTAATACATTGATGTAAACTCTCAATAAAGGTAATTATAATAGTTTCAATTAGTTTCTTACTTTGTGCTGATTTCATATTTATTTGATCATTCTATTAAACAGTTGTAGGAACTATAGACAACCTGCTTAATGCTGTGTTGAACCATTAGTAGGGTTTCAAACTTTATTTGTGACAATCCGAATCCATTATAAAAATAATAAAATATATTCTAATAAATCATTTTTATATGAATTCATTGAATTAATAGGCCTATCTTGTTATTAATTCTAAAATGCTTCTATCTTAATTTTAGACTGTTGCTGAAAATGGCTGCAAAGTCAAACGCTGTACCACTGACACGCACTCGAACTGCTGTTTGGCTGATTGGTCAACCTGAAAAGGACCTACCGAGTAATGTCCTTCCGACAACGGGCGATGTTCTTCGTACATTTTTCCATTACCACAAAACAATAAAACAGACAGTATCTGCCAGTGCAAAGTCAACCTCATCTGATTTGGTAAAAATTTGGAGCAAGGCACGGATACCAATGACCTATCAACCACATATCGTGTCAAAGGTGAAGGTATGCTTTGATGAATACAGTTTGATCAAGAAGAATAAAGGAAGAGAAAGTGAATCACAGCTAGCTAGAGAAAAAGCATTTAAAGACAAACTGAATCTACTCTTTGATATTGCTCACAAAGATACAGGTACATTAATCAAAATCGATGAAGACAAGCTGTTTTTGGAGGATCAGCGGAATGCTCGCATGATGAAGATGAGTGGAGAAGATGTAAGATTATCACAACAAGAAGAGCGAGCAGCACAGCGTCGACAGGCTGAAGCTGAAAGGAAACAGCGTGAGGAAGAAAGGAGAGATGCAAGTGCCAGAAGCAGCCATCACAATCATGGTCTTGAAAGCGACAGTGACGGAGCAGAAGAGGAGGATATTGAAGATGATGATTACGAAATAGAGATACCAGTATATCACAAGAAGCAGCTATGTGAGGTAGTGGATGCTGGACATGAATGGACTACAGTTAACAAAAGACCACGCATTTTGGAGAACATTCTGTCGTCACCAGATGTTTCATCAACACTTGATCGCATAAATTTATCTGACCAGAAGTTTACAATTTTGGCAGCAGCAATTGCTAAAGCCAGTGGACAGGACCTACAAAGCACGCCATTGTCAAGATCAACAGTACGTCGCAAACGTATTGAACACCGATCTTCAACAGAAAATTGTATTCGGCAGGAGTTTCTCTCCAGTGAAAAACCGCCTCTGGTGGTCCACTGGGACGGTAAAATCATGCGAGACAGCACGAACTTAGAGGATCCAAAGTCCAATGTTGACAGAATTGGTGTTAGTGTGACTGGTGTAGATTTGGAGAAAATCTTGGGAATTGTCAAGCTTCCAGCGGGCACTGGGGTAGCACAAGCCAAGGCAACATTCCAGTTGGCCAAAATATGGGATGTTGATAGTGAAATCGTTGGCATGTGCTTTGACACCACAGCTTCGAATACGGGCTCCAAAAATGGTGCATGTGTCTTGCTGGAACAACTAATTGGGAGAAACCTTCTATACTTAGCTTGTCGACACCACGTGCATGAAGTGATTATTGGTGAAGTGTTCACAGTTTTGCTTGGCCCAAGCCGTGGCCCAAACATTGCTCTATTTGAACGTTTTCAGCAGTCTTGGCCAACTATTGACCAAATGAACTTTGTTCCACTTGATGATACGCGACTTACAGTTCCACAGCTGCAACAACTCAGAGCAGAATTTGGTCCTTTCTTGCTGTCTTTTCTGTCAGGTCAAACGTCATATCTACCACGAGAGGACTACAAGGAAATGATTGAACTTTGCCTCTTGATATTGGGTTTCACACTACCAAGCCATCCAGCTGGTGGAAAGCCATATCATTTCAGACAGCCGGGTGCCTACCATATGGCAAGATGGATGGCAAAGGTCATATATTGCATGAAGATTTTCCTGTTCAGGAATGAATTCAAACTGACTTCAACTGAGGTGAAAAACCTGTCTGAATTTTGCATTTTTGCAGCTCACATTTATGTACCAGCTTGGATTGCTTGTCCAGTGGCAAGTGATGCACCATTGAATGATTTGATGCTGTTTCAGAGAATAAAAAGATATGCTGAGGTACACAAGATTGTTTCACAAGCAGCTTTGAAGAAATTGCAGAATCACATGTGGTATCTTGGAACAGAAATGGTTCCTCTTTCACTGTTCTCCAGCAAAGTATCTGATGAAGAAAAGAAGTTGATTGCGGAAGCCATGATCCTCAGTGGAGATGATTGGAGTGTCAGGGGAAACAAGTTTCCAGTATCAAAATGTAATGAGTTGGAGAAAAAGCAACTACATGAACTGGTAACATCATCATCAACAGCTGCATTGCAGTCACTTGGACTTGACATAACTACCTTGTCAGGACTTGAGCCCCCGAGTTGGGAAGAAAGTGCTTCATTTCGAAAAACCAAAGCTGTTGTTGCTTCTCTCAAGGTTATCAATGATACTGCCGAGCGCTCTATTGCACTGATGAGTTCTTTAAACCAGTCAATAACAAAGACAGAGTCTGAAATGCAGAAACTCCTCCAAGTTGTTGAGGACAACAGGAAGCGCATTCCAGATTACCGGAAAAGCACCCTGATGGCATATGCCCCTCGGTAGACGTCGCAAGCTTGAAAACTGAAATAAGTTGAACTTTGAACACGTGAACAATAAATGAGCATGCAATAAAAATCTGAACGAACATGTTTAAAAATTGCTGTTAATTTCTTTGATATTAATTTTGATAAATTAAAAATTGTTAATGTGTGACTGATTGTGTCTGCACTGTCTGTGTCATAACCAGTATGTCTTTTTGAAATGAATAGTAATGTATCTATCACATTTTATCATCTTGTGATTCTAGTTTGAAGATTTCAGTCAAAAAAGTGCAGCCGCGGCAAGTTTATCTGTACTGTTAAACTTCACCTCCATTGAGCAACTTGTAAATATCAAAATATAAATGCCAAAATTTGCATAAAAGTTAGTTTCCATCAAAGGAACAAAATGAGATACTGTGCTAGGTTGAATTCAAAAATTTTTTTTTTTTGGACATACCTAATATATATATATATATATATATATATATATATATATATATATATATATATATATATATATATATATATATATATATATATATATATATATATATATACATATATATATATATATATATATATATATATATATATATATATATATATATATATATACATATATATATATATATATATATATATATATATATATATATATATATATATATATATATATATATATATATATATATATATATATATATATATATACATATATATATATATATACATATATATATATATCATATATATATATATATATATATATATATATATATATATATATATATATATATATATATATATATATATATATATATATATATATATATATATATATATATATATATATATATATATATATACATATAAATGTTTTAAAAAATACATATTGAACAAGCTCTAGTTATACAAAATATATTACTAAAGCTGATGTTTTTGTGCTAAAAAACCAAATTCTATTATAATATGAGAAACATTTCATGCATATTCCACTATGAAAATAATTTTTTATCTCACACAAATGTACGAATTCATTTGGGGAAAAAAAAAATCTACTCAGCAAAAAAAAAGTTTATATAGAGAAATAAGTACATGCGTCATAGTTCTCTAAAAATTATATTCTGATATTTTACAAATTTAATAATGCCTTATATGAATCCGTTTAACTTTTCAATTAAATTTTACATATTGACACCCAGACAGTTGAGTATATTATCTTTCAAAACTTTTTCTAAAATCTTTTTTTTCTGTATTAAAAAAAAAAAAAAACTTTAGAAAAATTTTAATCAATTAAATCTTTCCGATTGTTGTTTTGATGCATTATTTATAAGATTCTAATGTTTAACTCTACTACTTTCTCTCTACATCTCATTAGTGTATTTATTCGCTATATTGATATAAAAGTGTTTTTATCGTATCGTTTTAGAGTGTAATATGTAATTTATAATAGGTTATCTCTTTTTTTCTGTTTATGATTTGATTTTGATACTAACTGTTATCATTAAATAGCTATAACTGCTGTCTGTAACTATTGATATTGTTTGTAACTATTGATATTTTTTTAAAATATCGTTTTAAAACAACTAATGGTGTAAGTTTTTTAAATCCTAAAGCCTCTGCAGCCTTTGAGATAAAAATGCAGTAGAAAAAATTAAAAATAAACCAACTAACAGTTTTATGTAAAAAAAAAAAGTTGTATACATGTTTTAACGTAAAAGATATTTAAATTAATTAATAAAGCTGTTTAGGTTTTTACAGTAATAAAAAAATTAGAAACAAAACAACAATTACAAAAAAAAGTTTTTCCATAATTCTATTTCCATTTCAATATAAAAAACTCATGGTTAAGTAAAAAAAAACTTTTTCAAGCATTTGAAAAAACAAAGCAAATCGTAAATCCGTTACTTGTACTGCTATTGTAGAATTCTAATTGTATTTTATGCTGTTTACTTGATGTTTCAAATTTTTTATCTTATACTTAGCTATATAAATACCATCGTATGAATATGTACGACATACTCTTAAGTTTCTATTTGGTAATAACATGTTTGAAGGTGATGGTAATAGCTGTTTTTATTGATACTAATTTCTCAATATGATTTTGTTTAAATCTTTTTAATGTAAGTATTGTACTGCATTTTATGCTGATATACCCAATTTATAAGAATGTTTAAAAAAATTAACATAGATATTTTGTTTGATTGTATCCTCACATACAAACAAATCAACAAATTTAAATTACATTCTTTAAACAGGCTGGAAATCAAAATAGTACAAGTCGAAATCGTTTAAACTTAGAACTTGCTGAAAAGCGCAAACCTAAGGAAGAAAAAAGTCAACGAAAAACTTCTGCTCAAAAAAGCATTAGCAAGACTCAGTTGCCAAGTAATAACAAAATTGAAAGGTAAGATGGCAAGGGATTATCATAACTAAGATAATTAAACAAATATAATCAGATTATTGAAAAAGTAGTACAATATTTTATTAGTACAATGTTAGTACAATGTTATTTTTTTTTTCATTTATCTGGTTTGTTCTTTTGCTAGTAAAAGTAACTTTTTTTTTATGAATTTCCAACTATCAAACTTGTAAAATGTACAATGTTAGTACAATTTTATTAGTACAATGTTAGTACAACGTTTTATTAGTACAATGTTAGTACAACGTTTTATTAGTACAATATTTCATTAATATTATAAAACAAATATTATAAAGCTGTATAAGGTTATTAATTATAATATTAACTATTAAAAGAAAAACCGTTTTTTTATAAATATATATTTTTGAAATAAACCTCCATTAAAAGTTGTTAAACATTTAAAAAAAATTTAAAAACATAAACATTCAAAGCATCAAAAGTCTTTAAATTATTTTATATTTTATAGTCAACGTAAACCTGTTACCAAAGAACAGATCAATCGAAAAGATGAAAAGTTGTATGAATTTTTTTATTCAAAGTTTGTTTTAGTAAAATACTTTGCTTATTGCCCCTGTCCAAACTATTAGATGCTTTATAAGATTCTATGTATATATATACTACCATTTTTAATATTATCTTTTTTTAAATATGATTTGATATTATATTGCTTAATTGTTTTTACTGATACTATGTATACTTTTTTTATTATTCACATTTTTTAATAGAAATAAAAGATCACAGTTATAAAAAGAAGAGTTCTTTATACACTATTAAAAAATTTTTAGAACTAATGGAATTAAATATTAACACTTTGTTGAGGCACTTTTAGCCGCACTACACGGTTTTCAAAAATCCTGAGAGTTTTAACCAGGGCTGTGGAGTCGGAGTCGGAGTTGCGGAGTTGCGACAATTTTATCGGAGTCGGAGTCGAAGTCGGAGTTGCTAAAAAGTATCGCGACTCCGACTCCGATAGTAAAATTTCTTGGTATTGCACGTGCATGTACAAAATATTTAATTAACCTTATGTTTATACTAAACCTCAAAGATTGTTTCATAAAGTTGTCAAAAAAAATAGTTTCATTTTATAGCGCAATAAAGAATTCAAAGAATTTTTCAAAAATTTTGCTTAGGATTTGGAGTAGGAGTCGGAGTTGGAGTCGGAGTCGGAGTCTGAGTTGTAATCAAAAAATTTCAACTACTAGAGTCGGAGTTGGAGTTGTACTCAAAAAATTTCAACAACTGGAGTCGGAGTCGGAGTCGTTCCTTTTTTTTTACGACTCCACACCCCCTGGTTTTAAAACAAATTTTTTTTTGAGTAAACAAACATTAAATATAGTACATTTATGATTGAGTTATGTAATTTTTTAAAAGAAGTTATTTTTTTAAACTAAAACAATTGTATTGAAATTAAAAATATTTGAAGTTGAACTTTTTATAAGTAGTTATAGGTGCAACTGAATATCATTATGTTTTAAAAAATTGCTCAAGTAGAAGTTATAATAATGAACTGGAAATGTAAAATATGCACAAAACATAAATGTAAAAAAGAGGAATTTAGATGAAATTATGCATTACCTTTTTAGTTAATATTTTTTTCCAACTATATAAAAATTAACCTCTCAACTTAATAATTGGATCAAACTTGATAACAACTGTTTTTTTCTGTAAGTAAGATGCTCTAGTTTGCTCCAATTAATTTAAAGATAAAGAGCTGAGTACAATTCTAAAACTGCTCTTTTGTGCACTTGCTCTCAACCTCCATATAGAAAGAGTATAATAAATACTGGGTCCATATAAGACTATATGGACCCAGTATTATTTACTTGAAAAAATATAAAGAAACGTTAACTCCACTAGAAACTGTAACACTACTAAACTTGTAAAAGACGGTATGGTCTTGTCGTTGAGAACTATTGTAAAAAGACGTTGTTGCATATTTACATGTTAAATATTTCACGTAGTAAAGAAAAAGTAAGTGTTTTGCAATAATAAAAAAATAACAAGATTAAAATAAAAAAAAATTACAAAAAAGAAAAAAAAATCATAAAAAATTTCAGATAAAACACAGATAATTTGACAGATTATATAACAACAATACAGGCTTGCCGATCGCAAATAATTGAATTACTACCCAGCTAGCACACTTACATCGGGCCAACGTATGTACAATCATCGCGAATGTCGGCTTTTTTTTCCAATGCAAAACAAACGTAGACCCAAAATCATTTGGTTAATGATAAAATTATTAATGACAGAACTGAAAACATCTTTAAATTTATATTAGTCCAATATATATAAAAACATCGAAAAAAAATTGATTGTTTTTACGATATAAACAAAAAGTTGATTGAATGTATATATTTTGACGTTGATTCAACGTATACAAATCAACGTTGATCCAATGTATATATATATATATATATATATATATATATATATATATATATATATATATATTATATATATATATATATATATATCGCAAAAAGTTGACTGTTTTTACAAACTAAACCCAACGTTGATCCAATGTATGCGATAAAACATTGCTATTGCGAAATTATATAACTTAAAATAAATTCTTCCGTGATTATTAAAATATTTAAACACAATTAACACAAACATGATTTTTGTTCCAATGATCAAGCATTGACAACCTTGATCAACCAATACATATTGTTTACGTTGGCTGTATATGTATGTATATACATACATGTATATATATATATATATATATATATATATATATATATATATATATATATATATATATATATATATATATATATATATATATATATATATATATATATATATATATATATATATATATCTATCTATCTATCTATCTATCTAACTATCTATCTATATATATATATATATATATATATATATATATATATATGTATATATATATATATATATATGTATATATATATATATATATATATATATATATATATATATATATATATATATATGTATATATATATATATATATATAATATATATATATATATATATATACATATATATATATATATATATATATATATATATATATATATATATATATATATATATATATATATATATATATATATATATATATATATATATACATATATATATACATATATATATATATATATATATATATATATATATATATATATATATATATATATATATATATATATATATATACATATATATATATATATATATATATATATATATATATATATAGATAGATAGATCATAAATACAACGTTGTGCCAACTTAAAATGCAACGTAGAAAGAACAAAAATTACAAAGTTGTGCAAACTTAATATACATCATTCGGCCAACGTATAAGATAAAACATTGAATCAACGTAGAAAATATAACCATTTTCCGACATTAAATTAACGTTTTATCAACATAAGTTTTTAGTTGTCAGAGATGTCGCTTTTGTAACCATAATGATATAAAAACAACGTTGGTAGCCGATGTTGGGCCAACGAAACGCGCGACATTATTTTGATGTTTTAACAACGTATGTGTGCTAGCTGGGTAATCTTATCAAGAAAAAGAGATTTAAATAAAAGTGAAAAAATGGAAACAAAAAATTACAAAAATTTTTATTTCTAAAAAATAAAGACAGACAATGTAATTACATTACAGGCTTGCATATCGTAAATTAATTAAATCCAAATCATGCAATTGAAATCAAACATTACAAACCATATAAACCGATATAAATAATAGATAAAAAGACTTTCAAAAAGTTTTAAAAGTACATTTGCATATTGTCAATTTTTTTAAAAGATATGTATTTCCATTCAAAATAAAAATTAAAGTTAATTAAGACAATTTTGTTTTAAAGATACAGTCCACGAAATGATATTCAGAACTTACAATGATTAGTTTTCGAAAACGGTTGCATCAAAGAATTATCATTTGTCAAGCGTATTTATTTTTTTCTTTTGTTATAAATAAACTGCAAAAAGGCGACGGCGTTTGTTTCGTTTTACATTTGTATATAAAACAAAGAATTTATATACATGTTGTTATACCCCTTAAAAATTAATTTTTCTTATCGTTAATGTGTACATTTGTATATCTCTTTACCCATTTTAAAACAACTCCTGTGAATCCATATGACTCGACCATTTTAAATAGAATTTAGTGGTCAATAGTATCAAAAGCTTTTTTATAAATCAATGAAAATTCCTAATGTATATTCAGATTTATCAAACGGCTAGTTAATACTACGTATAAGCTGAAGTATTGCATATTCCGTGAATTATTTTTTTTTTGAAACCATTATTTAAAAAAATATTATTTACAGTAAGATGAGCTTTAACTTTGTTATACAAGATTCTCGCAAGAATTTTTTTAAAAACAGAGATAGGGCGATAGTTATTTACATTACTTGCATCCCCTCTTTTGAATATCGGCGTTACTTTGGCAATTTTAAGTTAATCAGGGTAAACTTCTTGGCTAACGCAAGATGAAAAGATTTTAAATAGAGTTTTTTAAATAAAATTGGAAGAAATTATAACGATGTTTTTGTTAATACCTTCGATTCCTATTCCTTCATTTGGTTTAATCATTTTCAATTTTTATTGCTTCAAATTTCTGAAAGGGTAGGCTTAATATAATAAGCCTATTTCAATGTAATAAACATTGTTAATTTTTGAGGTAAAAATTCAAAACCTTTATTCGTATATTGAATATTTTTTTCAAAAATTGTTTCTCTTTGAGCTGTTTCAAAAATATTTAAATTGTCGAAGAGAGGCATGTCACAGTGTTTTAAATCATTTGTTTTCCTTCCATATGAAGAAAAGGTTAGTTTAAAAAGATCCCAAACCTCCGAAACATGTTGTATTCATAATAAAGTGAATGATTAAATAACGTTTAGGCTAATTTTTTTAAAAAATAGCCTAAACGTTAATTAAAACAAAAAGATTAAAACAAAAGAATAAATGCATACCAAGAAAAAGTAACTTTTTTATTTTAGTCAAAGCTGGCCTTCCACGTTTTTTTTTTTGTTTGTTTACATAATTGATCTTTCAATAAAAAAAAAATCCATGACGTCATGTTATAAAACTCTTAGAAATAACTTATCAAGTCTGTAGATTGCGGCGTATATTTTAAACACCTTTTGGCCTACAAAGTTTTTCTTGGTATGCATTTATTCTTTTGTTTTATTCAAAAAAATTTAGCCCAAAGTTTTATTTTTTTTATTTTAAATTTAGCACAAAGTTTATCTTTATCATTCTCTTTAATATGAACGCAACATGTCTCGGTTGTTTTGGATCCCTTTAAACCACTTTGATCGTGTTAAAGATAATCCAAATCTGTTAGGAGTATTTTTCTGCTCTAAAATTTTTATAGAAAAACCAAAAAGTTTAGAACTGCAAAGTACAACATTGTCTGAATATATGCACCACAATACAATGAACTTCCTTTTATTAGGTATCTACCGTTCTTTCATAAATTTTGTTAAACTGGAATACTGGAAGAATAACAGATTAGAAAATAACATTGGATTGCGGCTACCTTACTAAATTCCCACCTTATTTATCAGATATGGCTGATAAAGGTGTTAATTTTGTTAGTGAGTGTGCTGCTTATAGGATTATCTTTATTTCAAAATTAATAAGCTTAAAATTCTGATTAAAAAGATAGTTGACATGACATCATCTTGGTTTGTGCAGTATAAATTTTAACATCAAAACTTATGATTTATTACTTTTTTATTAGTTAAAAGAAAAATTAATATTATTATTTATTAACTTATGATTATGTACTTATGATTTTTTTTTACAAACCTTTTACTTATAGTTTCGTTTTCCAGCTATGAGATATAAAGTTAATGAATATTTAATGATATTACACTGAATAGTTTAAAGTCATCAATAGATTGTGTTTGGAGTACTAAAATCGCTTTTATTACTTGTTTTAATTAGACGTTTTGCATGTGTTAGGGTTCATCCATAACGTCACTTTAAGTTTAACTAATGACAAGAAGTAGGAGAATGTTGACTCTCATGCACAAAGTTTAATATCCAAAACATCTGCCCTGTTATTTCTTTAATTTATAGAAAACTTAATTAAATACTAAATGTACCGCCTTTCATAAAACAATACCAACTTACCAGCCTGCAGAAGTTCACGTCTTTATTGCACAATTGTTCTGTCCCCTTCAGTCGCTTTGCTTTCATCATATAAGGTCCTAAAAGGTAAATTTTGTAATTGTCTTTGAAAAGTGTGCGCAGAAGTATTCACATTAACATCTGGATTTTTAAATTTGTAGAAGCAAATCTGTTTTTCTAGCAAGTTTAATATTAACATCTTTCAAATATTGGTATATTTAACAGTTTGTAAAATATTTTAAGCAAAGGCCATTATGAGGGCCTTTGCTTCAGCTTTTTTAGGCGATGAAAGATTTTTATACATAACGAAAATGTTCCAATTGACTATTTAAACATTGCATACAAAATAAACAAAAAACTACGTCGTATAAAACTTCTATCAAACAAATAAAGAAAAAAAAGTATCCAGAACTGAAAAACGAGAAAATGTGATTGAAACGGGTTTGTACTTATCTAAAAATCTACAGCGTGTTTAATAATTTGGACACGGTCTATATATATGTATATATATATATATATATATATATATATATATATATATATATATATATATATATTATATATATATATATATATATATATATATATATATATATATATATATATATATATATATATATATATATATATCTATATATATGTATATATATATATATATATATATTTATATATATATATATATATATATATATATTTATATATATATATATATATATATATATATATATATATATATATATATATATATATATATATATATATATAATATATATATATATATATATATATATATATATATATATATATATATAGCACTATTTTGTAGAATACATTTTATATTTGTTTAAATATATATACATATATATATATATATATATATATATATATATATATATATATATATATATATATATATATATATATTTAAACAAATATAAAATGTATTCTACAAAATAGTGCTCGATGTTCTTAAAAGAACAGAGCAATTATAAAGTATGAGAAAATCATTTTGCAAAAATTTTTTTTTTTAACACTGGGTTTCATCAACAAAGACTCATCAGAAAAAGGTTTCATCAACAAAGACTCATCAGAAATGTATGATCAAATTATTAAGTCGCAAATGTCATAATTACAGTAAATTTTTACACATTTGTGGAATATGGTGACATTATTGAATGAAGAATTCTTTAGAATTGTTTACTTCTGTTGTTTTTTTTTGAAAAATATTTATTATAAGAAGGGATTTAATATAATTATTATTTGAGCTCGCTTATTTTTATAGTTTTTTACGAGAAACTTCATTTCGTGCCTGCATTTAGAATGCCTGCATTTAGAAATTAATTCCAAATTTTTGTTTAATAAACATTCTTGGTTTGCATGCATAATAATTTCAGTTTTTTTGTAGGCATAGTATGCATTTTTTGTAATATTTTAAAGCAGCACCTGCATATAGCAGGTGCTGCTTTAAGGATGGACCAATTTATTATAAAAACAACAATATTTTATCTTTTAATTACCGTTTATATTTTGAAAGCATGGTTTTTAACATTCACTCTCTGTTTTGCCAATATATTGCTTAACAGGCACATTCTTAGAGGAAACAACATACTTATATACCACATTTTTATATAAACAACTTCCACTCATTGGACAATTACTTTTTTGTTTACAATTACAATTTTTTGTAGTTTTTTCAATTAGGATTTCTTTATTGTTTAACAATGCATTATTGTCAACTTTTATAATTCTTTCTATATTTTTTGTGCAACTGTAATATCAATTTCATATTTTTTGTGCAAATTGCAATTTTGATTATAAAAAACCAATTTGTAACATCAGTGGTATTTTTTCACTGTTGCAAATTTAATTTATTTGTAAGAATATTATTAACTTTGTCCAATTTAACTTTGCTTACATGTCCAATCTCACTTATTGAGGAAACCAATAACCTACAAGGAAGTTAGTTTTGAAACTTTGGTTTATGGTCTTTTAGTGTTACGAAGGCTTGAACAGGGGCAGTTGATTCGATTCTGTTATCAAGGTTTATGTTTTTAGCAATATTTTTCGCTTCTAAATTAATTGTATTTTCCATATTTTTATGGGCTTTCTTATATGAATTAATAATATTGTCGTGTAAGATTATGTTATAGTTTCTTTGTTGTGACTTGTAAATTTATAATTATCATTATCTTAGTTATTATTAAATATATCATCTGTTTTTGGTTTTAAAGAATTCTTTTTATAATAGTGTCGTCATATTCCACAAATGTTTGAAAGTTTACAGTATTTATTACATTTGCGACTTCCTGTAATTTAATTTTCTTTAGGTAAAATTGAAGTTTTAATAGTTCGATCATTCATTTCTGATGAGTCTTTATTGATGAAACACAGTGTTAAATGAAAAAAAGGTTACATAATGATCTTATTCTACTTTACTATATATATATGTATATATATATATATATATATATATATATATATATATATATATATATATATATATATATATACATATATATATACATATATATATATATATATATATATATATATATATATATATATATATATATATATATATATATATATATATATATATATATATATATATATATATATATATATATATATATATATATATATATATATATATATATATATATATATATGTATATATATAAATTAAAAAATATAAGTAAACAAAAAAATCATTAATAAAAGTCATTGTATCTATATTTAAATATGAAGTATTGCATATATATTCATGCAAAACATGTAATTGTTAAAAAACCACTAGAGAAAGACTTTTGACATATAAGTTTGACAGGGGCTAAACAATCAAATATTGTTTAGGTTTAATAGCCAATTGTTCAATGTTGTTGATAGTGGTTTTAATATGGTTTCAATAATGTTTTTTATTGTGGTGAAAATACCTTGTGAAAACCTTTATATAATGTTTGGGCATGAAGATCTTGGTAATTGGGAGCAACCTGCTGTTCATATGAGTCTCGACAGGTATAATTTTATAGTTGTAATAATATAAAAAGTTTTACACTAAATTTTATAGTTGAACTTGACATTTGCTTGATATGTTATACATATTATAATTGAGATAACAAGCAAAGATAAAAAATATATAAATATTATATTTATGTAGTTGTGTTAGTTTTAAATAAAATTAAATTCAAAATAGTTAAATTTTGAAAAGTTTCACTAATTTTTTATATATAATTTTGTAATTTAAAATTGGTTTTCCTTAATTATATGCCAAAATTGTTGCACCAATGCAGGCTAGTGCTTATTGCAGGTTAGTTTTTTGTTATAATATTGACTATAAATATAGTCTATATTATAACAAAAAACTAACTGTTTAATAAAGACTAAATTCGTTCTCAAGTTTTCGCTTACATACTTGTGTTTTAGAAGGTAAAATATCTTGATATAAAATTATTATAACATATCCTCAATAATTTTATATTTAAGTGGTATTTCTGCATATGTTGGAAAATTGTCTGTCAATAAAAAAAATAATCAGATATGAAAAGAATAGAAAAATATATTCCATAATTAATAGAAGAGAGTTAAAACTTCTATACAGAGGTTTTTGCATAGCTAACAACTTCGGAAAACAATGAATTCCAAAAAGTAAGTGATATTAACTAGCAATAATTATTTTAATTTAATAATATATCATTATTATCTTGATAATCTTTGGATTTTTATATGTAAAAAGTGTTTATTTCAAAAAAGATGTAAAATTTTGTCGTAAAATTTTATTTAAAAATACATGTATTATTTTGTGCTTTTTTATAATAAATAAACTCTATTAACCTGCATGTTGTTTTAATCTATTATTGTATTTAGCTTTTTTAGCATCATAGACTTTTTTTCTAAAAAAAGTATTATTGCTGACCCTGAATAGTTTGAATAAATAGACTTGTGCCCTTTTTGAAGTGGGTTCTTGTGTCGAAGCAATAACGCTTAACTTTATCTTTTAATAAAAAACGTTCCATTAATTCCATATTACCTTACTTTTGATAAGAGCTAAAACAGTATAACTATTTTATTCTATATGTCAAGTAGTTCTGTTTTTCCAACAACCTTTACTAAATTTTCAATTCTATCAAATAACCTTTATTATCATTTATTATTTTTCCATTGTCATAAATTAATAGTTATTATTGGTTACAAAACCAGTAGCCATGGTAATATTACTGCTAATGCAAGTTGTATGTTGGGAAGGTGTAAAGTGAGATATTACCATAGTGGTAACTTAAGTTAACTGGAATCTGTTGTTATAAAAATATTTATAGTACGGGCACCATCTAATTATCTTAGGCTCAATAAAGTTGCTAATAATGTTAAAAAATAAAACAGAATGTTTAGTAAAAGTCTTAATAGATTTATCCTTTACTTCAAAAAGGATGTTGTTTTTGTCTCAACTTATCAAAATATAAAAATGTTTTTGCAAAATTTAATTTTGATAAAAACTATAGTTTTATTAAATTTGCTAAATGTAAATAAATAAAATTAGTAATGATACCTGACAAAGTATCCTCATAAATTTTAATGAAAATAATGAAGTATTCCTATGAACCTTACTTTGATATAATGTATAGTATTCTTCTAAAAGATGTTTCCATTAAACATGAACTTTTTTTTATGTTTAAAATCTACATCTAGGATATCTCATAGTTTTTGATATTTCATACTTGATGCTGATCGTCTGCTCTCTTGGTATATTTCACGATTATTCCGTGTGTTTGAATTCAGTTGAAAATTGTACTTTTATAAGACATACGCTCTAAATAAACTATATATTTTGATAACAGTAGTTAAATATATTTATTTATAAAAGTATTGATAGTTAGTTATGATTGACCGATGTATCAATATGATGAAACCATATTGATTCATCAGTCGATCATAACTAACTATTTAAGCATAGCTTGACCTGCTCTTGCAGCCAACCTTCAATCTCTGTCACATCGTCGTAAAATTGCTTCTCTTTCTCTTTTCTACAAATACTATAATGGGCACTGCTCTAAAGAGCTAGCGTCTCTTGTGTCATCTACTAAAATTTATTCTAGTATTACTCGTCATTTAAGTCTCATCCTTTTTCCGTTACTGTTACTGTAAGTGCTTAAAAAACTCTTATTTGTCTATTTTTTTCCTCGAACATCAGTTCTTTGGAATTTGCTTTCTTCATTTTGCTTTCCTGATTCATATAATTTGCAATCTTTTAAGTTGTCTGTCAATCGTTATCTTGCTTTACAATCTTCATCTTTTTTCTTCCAGTAACTTCCAACACTAATTAGTGGTTACTTGCAGCCTTGTTGGAAGCGAAGATGTTAAAATTAAAAATTAAAAAATTAAAAAAAGGCGCTCTTTAAATAACAGTCCATGACACGCAAAATTTAAAAAAAAAAATACGGCCAATATTAACTTTTAGAAAATGAACGCGGATGGTCTAAAAAGGCCTGTCTGATGAGTTTATGCTTTACTTAGTTTGTTAGAATGAATATGCTTTACTTAGTTTGTTAAAAAAATGGTGACAAAATATGTTTTGAATTTGCTGTTTTACAAATTATTTACCACAAAAATTTAAACCAACTAACAGAAATTAAACTTATCAAGTATTTTTTTAAAAACCTTTTCTGAAAAACCTTGGTTAACATCCAATCGATATGTGTGCTTTTTTTTATATATATTTATTTTACAACTACAAAGAATTTACAAATAACCAATCACATGTTGGAGATAAAGATATACAAATATAGATATCATAAATATAAAGTTCGAAATATGCGAAATAAATAAAAATATAATTGCATAAAACATCGAAACCTGATTAAAACAAATACCAAATACAACAATATCTCTTATCAAATCTTCCAAATAAAATAAAAAACACCAAAGAAAAAAAAAAAAAAAAAAAAAGGACCTCAATATTTACAATTTGCTAACTATACCCAGCAAACATTAAGTAGTCGGATCAACAACGGACCGCTGTCAGAACTAATGCCTTGCCGACGTCTGCTGTGTTGCCGCGTTGGCTTGCACATCGTATTTACATCGGACCATTAGCAGCAAGCTCCTAGCAATTCAACAGCGAATTGATGCACGTGGGGTATTTGATTAATTTAGGCGGGCAAAAATATTTATTAATCTTTAATTGAAAATGTTTATTTTTTTTAGGAAAAGATAGTAGAGAAGCCAAATAAAAAGAGAAAACAAAAGATTTTTAACAAATTTATGGATTATAGACCCCCCTCCTCCCTACAGCTTTTTTTTCACACTTGCTATAGCATAAACATGATAAGAACCTATTTTATATGGTTCTTATCATGATATGAACCTATTATATATGTTGAAAAATTTTTTTCACCATATATAATATGAAATTGAAAGTCAAAATATCGCAATTTGTGTTATCTTAATCTATTCGGAAGCACTCGCAACTACTATATAACTCTTATTAAGCATTGGTAAATATTAAAATAAAAAATCCTTATAACTATTTATATTTTAACTCAAAATAACAACTATTAAAAAGATGATGTAGAAAGCTAAAGTTTTTCATCAGAAGACATCACTGATTGCTCTGAAGACATCCGTGATTGATCTGAAGATTTCTCCTCTGTGTCAACAATATCAGTAAAAACAGAAAGTTCAGCTGAAAGTATCATCTTTAAGGTTTCTTTTAAGAAAGTTTTAGCATTTTTTTCTTGGTAATTTTCTCATGCCAATTAAAATAGGATTTGAGCTAATTAGTAATCTATGGAAAACTTTCTAGCATTGATTTGACGGTAAAGACCAAAATATTTATTTCATGCTTCAGCTGCTTTTTCAGATAGCTAATTAATAGGAAGCAAAGCATGCTCTTTTACAATAAAACCATGAATAAAGATTTTATGCATCGTAGTGGTCATCGGATACCATTGGTATAACTTGACATATAATTCCGCAGTTTTTACAATATATCTTCTAAATTTTTTGACATCTACTTTATGTTCACTAGATATTATTTCTAATATCACTTTAAGGCGATGTGTTAGGTTATAATCTATACACAATAATTCAGCTTGCCAACTCTGGGTCTGCAAAAAATCGTCGACTATTCTTCCCATCATTTGAGTTACCAAATCCAGGCTTAGATGCGTCTACAATAAACCTATTTTTTTCTAAAATTTGATTGTATATCTAGTTTTTTTTGTTTTAAAAATAATTTTTTGTTTTCTGATATCGCTTGTCACTTTTAATAGGTAATTTATAAGACAGATGCAATAAATTTTAAAGTATTCGGATCCTGGAAAAATTGATAACCCAAACTTCAGTGTATCTGGTTTGACATATTTTTCAATAGTCAAGTTATTAAAATCTTTTCATGTTGCATCATAAATATAGCATCTCATAGTTGAAGCTGTTTTAGTGGCTGGGTTACACACCTGCGTCAACCATAGTGAGCATCATATTATGTTTAACTGAAAATAAATTCCCACCCACTGTCAATTTTGCATCATGCAAAGAGATAATTGAAATTTCAATAAGTTTTATCTCTTCATTTTTTAGATCATTTGATTCTTTGACAAATCTAGTTCTTATAGGGCGAAAATAACGTGGCAAAGAAGGAGTTGGATTTTGCCCGATCAATTTGTTGTTTTTAGTACTAGTTAATTGAAGCGGTAAAAATGAACTCTGGAATATACTTGCATCAGAATCGGCGTCATTCAGAAATTTCCGTTTATATTGATTTTGCATTGATCCGTCACAACCCCATTTACAATTTTATATTAATGAGTTTTTTTTTTTCGTTTAGATTTTGTACCACTTCTTCTAAATACATGACCAATTGTGTAATGGTATGGTCCAATAAGTCTTGTAAATTGACTGCAATACAAGTTTCAGTGACATAATAAGGTTCCTTATTCGGATAAAAATCTACTTTTGCCTTTTGCAGGATACTATAGCAAGGATATAATGTTTTACAAAAACTTCTAACAATTTCATATTGT